GATGTTTGTGAGGATGACGGAGTATTCGGTAGGGAGGGCGCGAAGAGCTCCTCGTTCAATGGGCAGGTCAAGCTGCAAGCTCGAGCAAAAGGTGTCATCAGATCAAGATATAGGTAGACAGGGCGGTTCTGTGATCCAGAACCGAGACCCAATGATGACAGAAGAGAGAAAGGGTGAAAGAAGAGCATGGAACCTCCCCCGCCATGGTGCACTCATCTGCGAGCGGTGCCTGTATAGCCGGCTAGATCCGAACCAGGAGGGTAATATATCCCTGGTAGAAAAATAGGAATCGCAAGAGCATGCTGCCTTTCAAGCAACCCCCCCAAAATTGTGACACAAAGAGAAAAGAGCGTTGAATGATCAACATGACCATAGCGTGATATAGAATTACAGAGACACCGTCGATGAACCTTGTGTCAACCTGGAAGCTTGTATAAGCAGGGAGGCATGACACTTGGGAACTTGACAGATTCATCACCTACCGCAGCACAGCGCTTTCATCAATTTTTGGACGAAAGTAGGCTGCGGGTCATTGTTGCCCTGAGTGCCCTGGCCTTGCTGGCTGTTCTTCGTGTGATTCGCGGGACTTCCCATGCGACCGGACAGATTCGCGTTCGAGTTCTGGAACTGCGCCTGGGTCGACGCTGTCGGTGTTGTCGCATCCAGACCCCCGCTCTGCCGTTTCGGCGGCATTCCGCCGGAGGCGCTTGGCCGGTCGCGCGTCTTCCCAGCTCCGGGTTTCGCTGGAGATGGGGGCGGGGGCTGCGCGGCGTTTAAACGGTCTGCAGTAACGCCAGGCCTCTGGCCGCCGCGGAGCTGCTGTGCATGGAGCTCACGGGCAGACGAATTGGGAAGATTATGCTGCAGCTGCTGCTGGGACGAATACGACTTGTATTCCCAGCCCCTGCCGCCGTTCAGCTTCATCCAGTCATACTCTCCATCCTCCACTTCGCCAGCGTTCTTGAGAGCTTGGGTAAGCAAGTCCCGCAGGTAGTCATAGTCGGGTGTGTCTTCGAAACCGAGGTTGCGGACGTAGGTAAGGTACTTGTTGAATTCCTCTGCATGACAAAGTCAGTTCCGTCAAACGCCTACGGCTTGCTGAACAATAAATACCTGGATATCCTTCGCAGAGATCTTTGATGGCAGTTGTTTGCTTCTTTTCTCCGATCTTCTCATACTTTTGCTTGTTGGTCGCTGCCTTCAGCCCCTGCCAGGGAAGACCACCTCGCAAGAAGTAGAGGAAGACGTGGCCCAGAGCTTCCAAATCATCACGTCGTGATTGTTCCCGTCCCAGATGGGTGTTGATACTCATATAACGCGCTGTACCGGACAGCGATTTCCGTTCACGATAGGGGATGTGCTGCTTGGTCTTGGGATCTCTGTATTGCTTAGCCATGCCAAAGTCAACGACGTGAATCACGTTGGCAGCCTTGGTGCCTGGTCGTCCGATGAGGAAGTTGTCAGGTTTGATATCGCGATAGATCAGATTCTTTTCGTGGATTGTTTGGACACGCGAAAGCTGGTAATACAGTTAGTATCGAGCACGCAGCAGGTGTAAAAACACAGCACGCACCATCTGCTTGGCGACCATCACTACGGTCTTAACAGTGAAGCGACGATTGCAATGGTCGAAGAGGTCTTCAAGACTAGGACCAAGAAGATCAATGACCAAGATGTTGTGCAAACCTTCCTGGCCAAAGTAGTAGACATTGGGAATGCCAGCTGTAGTCGAGTCAGAATTATTGGTCGGCCTTCGTATTCTTTTGAGGACTTACGGCATCCGACCAAGATCTTGTATGTCCGGTACTCATCGCGCAGTTGAGGTGCATCGCTCTTGCGTGGTTCCTATGATAGTCAGACCATTAGGAGTCATAGGATTCAGCCTTGAGTTCGAGTAAAACGTACAAACTTGATAGCCACCTGCTGGTTATTCAAGAGGTTTGTACCCTCGAAAATAACACCGAAAGATCCTTCACCAATCTTCTTCCCCACTCTATAATGAACTCCAACAACGTTGGACGACGAAGATGCCATGTTCGCAACCGTGTTTTGATATCAGGTTAAATCGACTTCGAAGTGACGACTGTGGAGAACCCCTTCGATATTTTATCACGTGGAAGACGAGCTGCATTCAATTGAGCCGTCAGCAACTGAAACGACCAAGAAATGGCGAGTAAATATTGACATCAAAAACATACAACTTGAACCCGAAACTTGCTAGACTACTCACAGAGGATCGTCGAGCCACGCAGAATAAGCACAGGTATTATTCCTTCACCAAGCCGGACCATTCATAAACGAGTTCGACGTACGGCTAAATCGGTCTTGAGAACAAAAGGCGAGGCGAACAATTGACAACAAGCCCAGGGCCGCTAGAGACGATCGCAACGGTGATACAGATGATCTGGGAAAGAGAAAAAATTGTTTGGGATTGTTCAGGCCTTGTGAACAGGGCGAGGAGAAGTCGAGTAGGTTACTCCGCGGACTGAGACTTGGGGCTGCACACTGGCAATGATAGCGTCGGGCGAACAATGTGGAAAATGGGGAGGATGTGGAAGAAGAAATAAGGAAAAAAAAGGTAACTCCCAGGAACCAACAAACCAACTGCGTGGCAGCACGATAAGCCGCACTGTGCAGCGGTTGATAGGAAGATTGGAGAGCTGGAGGAGAGAGGGGAGAATCGGCAGGTGAAGGAGAAGGAGAGAGGAAGAAGGGGAGTTGGACAAAAAGAGAAGAGGAAACGGAGAAAGATGGAGGACGATGAGTGGTTAGAATGGGGGGACCACGCAGTGTACACCAGTCAGAAGCGCAGGACAGGATTTAGACTACTAGTAGGTACCTATGGAGGAGGAGGGAGAGGGAAAGGAAATGGAAATAATGAGGCGGAGAGAGGGAGAGCCAGAGTTTGGACTTTGGATAGAGAGACCCAACTGAGACTAGACAGTACTGCCAATACGTACCAAGTACCTAAGATCCGAGAGTGAGCGAGAAATTGGAAGACAGCAGACTTTCAGGCAGAGAAAGGGATTTGGTTGGATGATTTGGCTGAGCGGAAGAATTCTTGAGAGCGACTGTCACTGGTCGAGTTAGAGGTACCTTCCTGTACCGCCCCCGATGTACCGGCCAGTATTGTACAGCCACGGAACAGTAATTTTTCAACAGATGTGTCAATATCATCTAAATCCATGCATGTTCTCCGTACTGTATCTACCCGTACATTACTCAATCAATTTACCTTACGGTACCTCCTGGGTACTATCAGCTGAGACCCTCAATCCCCTGTAGTTAAGGGGCGAAAAAGCGACCATACCATAGTATTATCACCCAGTGAGGAAGGGGGCGATGGACAAACTCACAGGGGACAGTTAAGGAAAGGAAAAGCGGTAACCTGACACTCCGTAATTATTTTCCGTACGTACTTTGTCCGATGTATTGGACTCGGGACAGCTTTGGCTCAGGGACTCACCATTTAGCGCTCATAACAATCAACAATGGAAAAGCCGGAGTGGATTATTCTGGCCAGACGGGAGCTGGTCTAGTCAGTCTCAAGTCTGCTAGTGATGAGCCAGTAAATAATGAGACTAGCTCAACAGAGAGCTGGAGCTCCGAGCTTGTAGACTATCTATCTAGTGCGTGAAGTAGCACTCCGAGTATTAAAAATGAGTGGGATCCAGTCATCCCGATTGAGTACATAAAAGGAAACAATCCAGAAGCCATCATAAGATCTTGAATTTGATAAGTCGCAGATTTGTGTAAGGGAGTTGATTTAGAATTTTGAACTGATTAGGACCTTTTGTTACTGTGGTTACTATCATTTCTCATCATATTGAGACTATCAAGCAGGTCCCTGCAGACAACTTGCTTGTGCTGCGGAATGTCACATGGTATTTAGGTTCGTCAGTACCTACCTGTATGGTATGTAACATTGTGTAACCTGACTCGACCTGGCAAGTACGGAGTACATACACCTACTTGTATGTGTTTATGATATGATTCTGCCCTCAGCTTCCCTAGACTGTACCAGTGATAGTCTATCAGTTCAAGGACCGTTGATAAGCGCCAGCAATCGATGGTTTGCGAATCGACAGTTGTTCGTATGGCGACAACAACAGCCTGAGTTGGCATTGCCGCGGCGGAGACGCTTCAGACATGGATGATCAGCCCCTGATACCGTTGTGTACCTGACCAGCGGAGGTGAAGGTAAGGTACCTATTCTCACTTGTAGGGCGGCAAATGAGTGTATTTTATCTACTCAATTTAAGGTACCTCTCTCTAATACTGACTGGTACAAACGATCGGATGCTTCTGACTCTTTATTGATCTGGAAGCACTTCTGGGGGTATGTTATGTTTCCTTCGGCGGGATCTCAATTCATTAAGGATGGTCGAACGGGAAGAGCCCCAAATAATAATACCTATCGACTAGGTGGTTCATAGAAATCCTGATCCAAATACAGAATGTAGACGAGGAATTGACAGGAAAAGATTGACCGTCCGACTGCACGATATTTTTGATAAGTGAACCTGCAAGCTCCATCAATGTACACGGTATCATCAATGGGACAAAAGCAAGCAGGATCTGACACGTCCGTTGACCCACTATATGATGCCATAATAACTTCATCTCTGTTCTTGTCCCTTTGTGTGTGGGCCATTCGAATCTATCAGACCGTTTTGACCCGAAACGCGGAATTGGGTTCATATCAATATCTTATTGGATGATGGTTACCTGCGCAAGCCAGGGCACGCATTGATCATGCATGATGTCTTTGTAACTACTGTCACACATCAGTTATTCATGTTCCATAAGAACCGGACTCGATCTATCTACGCGGCTTGTGACTAAGGTTACTGTAGACAAGATGATTTAGTGAGGAACGAGGGGAAAGCATCGGATGCACTTTGTATCAATTGCAAGGACGCAAAGGGCCAGTCAAACATGACAATGACCTTGTTTGCACCCAGCGGACGAGAGATAGTGGCACAGATTTGAGACCAACATCACAGTTCGTCCTCGGCTACGTCTTCTGCTTCACTCCCAAGCTCGGCCGCAACAAGGTCTTGCCCTTCCTCGTCTTCGTCGCCTTCTTCATCCCCGTCCTCGTCTTCCTCGCTGCTCGAGCCACTACCATCGCTCTCGCCGTCACTGCTGGGATCATAGTCTTCTTCATCCTCATCCTCCTGATCTTCGAGCTCGCGCTGTGCCTTTTGTAATTCGCTCTCCTCCGCAGCATTGCCGTCAGCGGTGCCAGCGGCATCTTCCTCCGCCTTGACTCCATTGAGATTGTAGCGCTTAGCACGTCGCGCCTCTGCCAGACTCGCGTCTTGTAGACCATGCTTCTTGATATATGCATCAATACCAGCATAATCAGCCTGATCAATCATAGAGAGCTCGAATTCCTGCGTCTCGTTTTCAGCACCATTGTGGGGTCGCACCGCGATGTTGAGGTTAAAAGTGCGCTGGAGGACTGAAGTGTATGAGATCGACTCAATGTTCTCAAAGGCAAAGAAGACCAACGGCTTCTTGAAACCGAAGAAAATACCCGTAGAGAGCAAGAAAAGATAGCCTGAAGGATATGATTAGCTCACCGACGAGGATCAGTATTAAAAAGATCACATACCTTCTTTGCTACCACGGAAGGCTTTGACATGATAGGCCTTCTCCCCCTTTCGATGCGCCTCTGGCATAGCACTCACAAACTGTCTCTCATCCGGACGGACGACCTTAGTATGCGATAGATTCTCATTCAACATCCGTCGGACCAAGGCCTCAGCTGTCTCTCCATCACCAGTGCCAACCTGCTGCCCATTCCCGGAGAATGCAGCCTTAGCCGGTCCATCGGAGACAGTCCATACCATAGACTCGAACACTTCTTCGCCTTCCGGAGGCGGATTGATGCCATCGCTGTATTGCGGGATGATACAGAAGTTGAATTGCCGTTGAGACTTTTCGGGCACTGGAAGGCACAAAACATGTCCTATCAACCGCCACGGACAACATCAGCACTCTCTAGCGACCAAGCACAACGCGTTCAGAACTCACGTATTCTATCCAATGGAACACCAAACTCCACTTCCTTTGATGTTTGGTTCCGCGCGCGCAGAAAACCGCGCCCGGCAGTTACCTCGAGGGTGAGCTTCTTCCGTTGCGGTATAGCAAAGGACACATCCTGCATGTAGAATTGTAAGGACGCTTCCGCCTTAACATCGCCTGGAGACTGTGCATTGCCTGCGACATTGCCGTTCTGGAGCTTCCGTTTCTTTGCGGCAGGGCCTTCGTCGGCCTCTACGGGCTGTGTGGGTGAATTTGCGTGCCTGGCCAGCAGGCTGGTGGTATATTTAGCGATATCCTCGAAAAGAGGTACATATTGCGGGGTATTCTCTGTTAAGGGAAAAAAAAATGATACATGTTAGCTTATGCTTCCCAGCAGGATCTTATAAGTGCAAAGGCCTGATAGAAATCCAGGATTGCGAGAGTGTGCGTACCAATCGCATCATAAACTCGTTTCTTCAAAGAAGGTTCGGCAGCGAAGGCATCTTCAATGGCAGGGATACTGGCCAGAAGAGTTTTCGTAGCAGATCGGTTAATTGTGGCAAAAGACATGACGGTATAATTACAAGCTACAGCCCCAAATAACTGAAGAAATAGCGAAGACGGGGCTGAAGCTTTTTTGTGGGTTGGGAGGAAGGATGAGAGAGACAGATTCGGAGTGCGGATAGATGGGATGGGATAAAGGTCCACGGGCCTTCCTGGCGGCAAATCGCTCGAGATGATCGCTCCTCTATCTCCAGTCTATTCATATGACGGTCGCGATAAGCTATTGAATAGCCATTGTGTTGCATCACAACAATATTGGCATGGCGCACTGAGCAAACAAAAGTACTTGGTTTCCATTGTCAAATTGATCTTATTGCCTTATGCTACAGTACAGTTGTATACACGCAGTTGAATCACAAGAAGAAAGGTTGAATACAGTATCCCCAATAGAACATCATATGGAATCTAGGCAGAAGACCCAGCTTTCTTCGCCGCATTCTGCTTCATGAAATTCTCAATGAAACCAGCCGTCTGGTCGTCCATGATAAAATTTCCGTCGGCGTCCCGTCTGGCGCTCATACGCTCGGCCTTCTTAGCCCGCAACATGGCGAGGAGTTCGCCCTTGGGTGTCATCAAAGACCTGCTTTGAAGATACTCCCTTCTGAGGTCCTCCATCTTCTTCGATTCAACCCATTCAGGGTCGTGCCTCGTCCGGTACTTGGAGAATGGGTTGCGGAGCTCGTCGAGGACGCTAGGAGGGAACGGGGCGTTGTGCAATGAAGGAATCCATGTCGGCGTCTCAACTTCCATACGGAGTGTGTCCCATTCTTCATCTTTCATTGTGGCGGGTTCGCTGCGGGGCCATGGAATCTCTATGTTTTCGCCAGCAATATATCTGGTGTGTTTCGGCGTGTCTGTGCCGTATTCTCTCTCGAGTATGGGCTCTCCTCCATAAACGTGCTCAACCAAGACGTCCCGCGTGATGCCCGTCTCCGGGTCATCAAGAGCGACCACGAGTCGGACATCATCAAGCGAGATTGGCAGGTTTACTGAGTTGAAGGGGGTCTTGTTTCCGTACTGCTCGTTCAACCACTCGGGGAAATGCACGTCGGCCTGCAGAAATGACCCGTTCTTAGTAGGCAGTCATTGCGATCATATGCAACCGTAAAAACGCACCATGTTGAGGTCCTTGACCATCACAGTCTCATTGTTTGGATCCACCTTAATGACCTCGCCGATCTTGCCCTTGTCTCTGCCCTTCATGATACACACCCGGTCTCCCGCAGCGACGTTGATGTACTTTCTGCGCAAGTGCTTGGGAATGGTCGGAGGATTCATCGCCTGTGGGCTCAGAGAACCAAAAGTCTTTCCATCAAGGCCCGCATCACGCTTTGGAGCGAGAGGTCCTCGCATCCAGTCTTCACGGCGTCGTAATCTCTCGGCGCGGATATTGTCGAGTTCTATGCGGTTAAAGGCGAAGCGCTGTCTCAACGCATCTTTGAATTCTTCACGCTCGGCATCCTTGGCCGCTCGAACTGCCTTTCGCTGAGCCTGATTCCTCGCTAAGGCTGTCCTGCGGATAATTTTCTGCATCTTGAATGATGCTGTCCTAGCAATGGCCAATTGTGGATCACCAACAATTCCTGAGATATGACTCGGGAAGGGAAAATTGCGGCTTCTGGGTGCACGTGACCAGCAGTGCGTTGGAGGTTATGAAGGACCAATGGGAGGCGTCGGATATTCTACTTCCTCCAAACGCATTATCAACAGTGTAAAGAAGGTTTTGTCTCCAGTCTTCGAGTTATCCTAGTGCTTTTCAGATCAGTGTGGACCCTTCTGTAATAGTAGTTAAACCCTTCGACTGATATGACAACTTCTATGCTGGTTATCGAATCTCTTATATCCTATCACTGGTTATGACAGAAGATACCGACGAAATATATAGATCATGGATGAAGTCCAACTTCGCATTCAATTGGATATTTCGTAAATGTCGCGGTACATCGTCTACTCCCGGCAAATCACGGACACCATTGCACGACCTCCCCGATAAACACTTTACTCAGAAAGCATTATAATCATACCAGCCAGACGGTTATCCTGGAGTGTATGGGTCCGTTCCCTCGACATCGGACACAGTAGAAGGATTGCATTTCCGGCATACTAGTATATCTTTCTGGCTCTATAGAGCTTTTATCATTATCAAAAGTTTTTCTATAAGTCAAGCTAGCTCTATCGTAACCGCACTTTATGCAGGGTCTTACGCCCACGATCACACCATGTTGTGTCTTCATCCAGTGCAATTCGTCTATGACCTGGAATGACTCGAACCAGCTCAAATCTGCGAGAACGAGGCTTTTCACCTGGCATACACAGCCATTGCCAGATAAATGGATTCTAGAAGAGGTGATATGACAGCAAATCCAGTTTCACGGAGGCGACGCGGCATGTCAAGGGCCTTATCACCTTGCACGGAACACGATCCATGCCGGACAGTTCGCCATGGACCGGTTGCAATGGCTTATCTCATGGAGCTGAAGTCCGTACATCCCGAGTGGAAGTACTCCCCAATGAGAGACGTTCCTCTCCGGGTTGATCAGGCGATAAAACGGGTATGTGTAGATCTGTTTTACCCTAAGCTGAGTGTACCTCGATCATCGAAAAGAGCACCGTGTTTTGGTATATGGAACAGATCCCAACCAAGAACCAAGCAGTGTAGACAGTCACGCTGCATTCGACTATGAACAATTTCAAGGACGGACGCTCGTCTTCATGATCCGGTATAGATACTGCAGCGGAGCAAATCCATTCTATCGCTGGCAGGAAACGCTCAACAGGCCTCTGGCATAATGAGGCAAAGGCTGAAAGGCTTCTGACGAACCAGAGGTCTCTGAAGCTCTGACGTGTAATGCGCCCTCATTACAAACTAGAGCATGACCACATATGTAGTGATAAATGCGGCTTGACAAATCAAAAAGCATGAAGGGATTGTCTTTTGGACCAAGCGTATGCTGTTGTTCAGAAATAGCATACCTCTCATCTCCTATCAGGACTAGAAGAAAAGCGATGTAAGATGCAGGACCCCTGCTTGTGCTTTTATCAGTGGCTGTGCATTCTATTGGGGAATGAATACCCTCGGTATTGTGTGACCACTCAGTGAGGGACTGTGGGCATGAGTGCTCAAGCCACTTTGAAATAACCAAACACTGAAGGAGTTATTCTTCTATCAGGGGAACGTAATGCTAAAGGGGTAGCCAAATAATAAATTCCAGTGATGACGTTAGTTTGTACGGGATTGATAGTGTATGGCACTTGCTTAGGGGGCTATGGCGGATGATTCTGCACCGCCATGTATTTCTTCTTGATAGTATACTCTGTAAGATACCAGTAATCATCTGTTCGTTCAGATGAAATAAGCATTATTCATGGCAACTGACAGGCAATCAGGATGGAAAAGCAACACTAATAATAATAACGCCTCGAGCTTCACTGCAACATGCCAACATCCTAGACCCGGACCTGGCAATGTATATATACTGAGCAGGAATAAGGCAAAACGATTCTGTGGCGTCTGCACATTTGCAGAACAATCATTTCAGCCAATGCAGATCCCGTCAAGTCATCGAACTCATATCGGTTCAAGGCAGCAATCATAAGGTCTGGAACATCGGGCAAGTCACTGCCAAGCACGAACAGCAGAAGTCAAAATGGATAAATATTCCCAGTGCTGTGGCATTGCACAGGTATAGATGAGGTAAGGATACGCCTGGTCTTAGTTTCCAGACGGACTCCAGCGCTTGATTTCATTGATTCTTTTGGAGAAGTAGGAAGCAACATGCCAACGAGGCTGATATTATTACAAACAGCAAACCCCTACCCGCTTAACCATCATTGCGTCAATAATCTTCATGGCTGACATGTGAAGTATACAGAGGAGCTGATGCCCCAGGTGAAGAGCTTCAGGTTTCGAGAAAGTGAGTAGGCATAGAAAGGACCAATTAGATGCCTGATGCTCCCAAGTCAGGTCCATCATGAGGATCATATTCATGAATTAAATCAGTAAAAGCAATAATAATAATGACATATGTGAAAGTTGTAACTACTTAACAGTTGATATATTTACTTTAAGAATAAGTAGCAAGACAAGAGAACATATTTCAACTATCTACTGTATATGTCGACTGTCGAGAGATCCAAGTATCCCATCTTACAGTACCTAGGTATGATACATACAGTACAGTACCTTACCTTATCCAAGCTCGGATGTCCATTGTGATGTACTAGGCATGTATCAACCAAGTGGAGTAAGCAGATGGGTCTCAGCCACAGTGGCTTTAACAAGGAGACAAGGCAACAGTTGAAGGCATCTGAATGTGAGAATGTAAGTCTGACTCAAGGTAATCAAGGAGAGCATCTTCATCCCATAGACACAGAGTGAAAGGATGTTGATATACTCCGTAGTGTCCTTTATCATCATAGATTCTGACTAGTGACAACCACATAGAGTTGTGTCTATAATACACATCAGAAATCCTGTTTGTAAATAAAATGCATAATGTAGAAAGGAAGAAACACCTCCTGGCTCAGCCACATACTGCTTGGATGGGGCTGGTAAAATTACATCCATTTTACCTTTGCCAACTTGTTTCATGAGGTGGTCCTGTCCATTAAGCTAAGGTTAGCTGGCCTTAGTCACAGGATGGAAAGAGTAGTCAGCAGCATGAGCGGATGATAGGACTCTAATAATACCTAGGTAATAATGAAAGAGGACCAGCTGGGAGAACGAAACATTGCCCAAACGAAACAAGAGCGAGTCCTTGGGTTAGACCAACCTAACCTCATTATTAACGCCGATAAACCTCTTTCCCTTTAGCATTGAAACTTGACACCAACCATCACCACCACCAACTGTCTTTCCTCATCAAAGACTGTCCATCATCCATTTTCCATCTCAGTTTTTTTTTTGGGATTCTCTCTGTCTATAGCTTCAAATTAATTCAAAGTTTCCCTCTCCCTCTCTGTCTCTTCTTCCTCTTCTTTTCTTTCCAACACCTCTCTATCTCTTAGTGTTCCGCGCCGTTGCGCTTGTTGCTCCCCTGCACCGTATGTGATAACCCTTTTTGCTCTCGGGCGCCTGACTTGTCCCTTTCTCTACTCTCAACCTCCCTCCGCCTATTCCATCACTTATCTACCTACAACAGTACTCCTGCCTCCTCTGCTGTTACTTCCCATCAACGCATCCATCATATTTGCGTTGCAATCACTAGATTTTTAAATCATTCGCTGATCATTGTCTCCTTTCTTCAAGATGGCTGAAATCCGCCGCAAGCTTGTCATCGTGGGCGATGGTGCCTGTGGTAAGACTTGTCTTCTGATGTAAGTTTCATATACTCTCCAAGCCTATGGCGATCATGATCATCAACAGCACCGAGCTTTTCTCTTGCATGTGCTAATCCCGATTTTCTTTGGGTAGTGTCTTCTCCAAGGGAACCTTCCCTGAGGTTAGCTTTCCCCAGCCTTGCCGTCCATCATCGTACTTCCGATGCTTGATACTCGATTCGAGTCAACTTCACCGTTCAATACTTGAAGAACTCTTATCATCTGACACTCCACAATTTTTCAGGTCTACGTCCCCACTGTTTTCGAGAACTACGTCGCCGATGTCGAGGTTGATGGCAAGCACGTTGAACTTGCCCTTTGGGATACTGCTGGTCAGGAAGATTATGACCGTCTTCGTCCTCTTTCATACCCCGACTCCCACGTCATCCTGATCTGCTTCGCCATCGATTCCCCCGATTCCCTTGACAACGTCCAGGAGAAGGTGAATATTAGCCCAGCCGTCCCCTTCTTTTACACAAAAGAAAGAGGGGGACAGTGGTTCATGTGCAAATACATAGGGGCTGAGCTGACAGCGTCCATAGTGGATCTCCGAGGTTCTTCATTTCTGCCAAGGCCTCCCCATCATTCTCGTTGGTTGCAAGAAGGATCTTCGTAATGACCCCAAGACCATTGAGGAGCTGCACAAGACCTCTCAGAAGCCAGTCACTACTGAACAGGTATGTGTCCTTCACGGAAATCAGCTTGTTCTATAAATTATTGACATATTCGTTCAGGGTGAGGAAGTTCGCAAGAAGATTGGAGCCTACAAGTACCTCGAATGCTCCGCACGAACCAACGAGGGTGTTCGTGAGGTCTTCGAGGCTGCAACCCGGGCTGCCCTCTTGACCAAGACCCACAAGAAGAAGGGCAAGTGCACTATTTTGTAAACTAGTTTTCGTCTCCTTCGCAAAAGGTGTGTTTCATTCGGAGATTTTATCAACGGATCAGCGTCTCCAATATCTGATTGCTTCTTTTCACTGAGAGGGGGTTCTCTCCGTTGGCGTGTTCAAATGTGCCTGTGTGCGAGTGTGGATAATGTTCGACTGCGGGCACAAGAGCTTCATGGGAATTATCTGGCTATGCAGTTGGTCGACTTTCTTCTTTTGCAGACTTTCTATTATTTTCTTAGGGAGGCGTTGTCTTCATAACCTTGTGGGTTTTCCTTATTCTCTCGCTTCAAGATCTCCTAGCGTCTACAGGGCTGCCCGGCTGCTTATAGCAGCGAAATATTGCTTGGTTTCTAGCAAGCAACGGGGGAAAGAGAGGGCCGCCCGCGACTGAGAGGGCGCATGGTTCGGAAGTGAGCAATTTGAGGATGGCGTTCTTTCGCGTGTGTCCCGCCAACATACTCTCTGAGAAATTGATCAAGGAAGGGAGTCGGAATCTCGTGGTATGATAGACGATTCCTATCGCATCGGGTATTTCCAGCAAGGGTCTCATACTTTCTTTTTTCGGTTAAAGAGAATGCATGGAACTGTCGTTGATCGTTGACGCTCACATCCCGTCAGTCAAATCTAGGTTCAATCCTATAGTCCATGAGTTTCAGGATGTCCGAGTGATTTCAAGGTCAGATGGTTGCGATAAGTGTCAACGTACACAGGCTCTCAACTAATAATAATGCTGTTACCCATTTTGTATTACCTGCGTCCTGACTGCTTTCTACGTCGATAGTTCTATCTTCCATTTGACAACGTAGTGTATTGGCAACCCAAGTCTGGGGTATGGATTGATGAGTGATGCGATCTTACACTGGAGGTAGTTCCGTAGGTTCATGTTAGAGCCATGTGTTCAGGAGAACTAGGCAGCATGATAAACACCTATTACGTTGTACTACGACACTTTTGGTATTCTGGTAAGCAGGATTACTCCTGAATCAGACCCATCCCTGCATCCACACAGAGTACTAAGCAGATTATGTGTTATTTTCAATGGGGACTTGCGGCGGTCTAACGAGTGGAGACCCAATAGTGCTTGATTTAAATAGATCGATACAAATAGATAAATGCATGGCTAACTGGATATTTGCAGAGATCTGCTGTCACTTGTCAAAGTACAATCATGTACTGCGTAGAGACCGTCGTGCATGTTTTACCGCGCTTTCTCCTTTTGATATTGAGGGCCTTTCTGTGAGTATGGAGAGAAGAAATGTGGAATCTGATAGAAAAGTCCCTAAATTCGAGTATATGACATTATCTATTCAGGCTTAATAGATTCTCTATATATCGTCTCGCATCAAGGCCCAGCCCCTCTACAAGTTTCCCCGGCCCCGTCTCGGAGCCGGAGGCTTGCAGTCCCGGTGATGAGGCGCCCCCGAGATCTCTGAAGAATCGTGTCCCGCTGCCACCGCGGGCATGCCCCGCTGGCGAGACGTGGTCGCTTGCTTTGCGGACCAGGAATGCTTCCCGAGCGGGAGGGGAAGAGAAACCTTCGCCTTCGCTAATACTTGAATCGTGATCATCTTGATGGTTCAGGGGTTGTGCGTCAGTGATTCGTACCCAAACGATCCACCAGCCGCGACTGGTCTTGCATGTTCGTTCGAGTTCGAGGGGACGCAACCTGGTTTCGGCGTATGTGCTCAAAAGGCGCTGGTGAATGTTGAGACTCTCGACGCGAGACCATGGCGAGGTCTCGAGAGAGTAGTATCCGAGCTCTGGAATATTCGGAAGCGAAGACCGGACGGTCAGATTTGTGGGGTCGTAAACGAGATCGTAAACGAGATCGTAGACTGGTAGGCTCTTGCTTGAGAAGCGTTTGTTGACGTCGAGCCCATTCTCGGACATGAGAATGCGTTCTGCGGCATTCGCAGGTGATGTGGAGTTGCTCAGTGGCTTCTGGAGGGGACCGAGTTGGTGACGAATGCTCTGGTAGAGGGAGACATCGTTCAAGGACGGCGCTTGAGGGTCAAAAAGGAATGTGTATATAAAAGGTTGATTCTGCTCGTTACATTAGCTGACATCTCGATGAAGAGGCTTGGTATCGGGACTCAACATACGACATAAACCACTACCCGCAGCTCAACGGATTCTGCATCACCTGCCGTTTGGTCATTCCTGTATCAAATAAGTCACGCTCAGACAGCGAGGCTCACCTGATGCACTTTGTCCTGAACGACCAGCTCGTTGGACATACAGAGTCCGTTGAACTATCTTCTCTGTCAAGTTGGCTGTTGAGTCATGCCGGCCATTATCTTCAGGGGATTGGTAGTCCACAAAATCAGAGTCATCACGTAGACCAATAATGAACTTTCCATTGGCCTGGTTCTTGGCTTTAGTGTCGTTGCTAACCCTCGGTGCGCTTTCTTCAGATGCCTCCTGGGCATAGTCAGAAGACTGGTGCTCTTTCCTCGCGTCTGAAGAACTCTCTTCCCGCTTCAGTGCCTCAACGCGCGGATGTGTGCTGGTTGTGCCGGACGAAAAACTCCAAGACGAGCCGTATCCGAGTGTGAGATATTTGACCAGAGTGTCTGATCCAAGACCTATCCAATCACTGCCCTTGTCGCCCCTGGAAGGAGAGCTGTCACTGCTACTTTGGCGTGTTCCTTGTCCAGCCTCCTGTGCAGCTTTCGATGTTCCTACTACCAGGGGAGGAGGTATCCCTGGGGTAAAGCTGCGATTTGTCGTCATCAGTTGGGATTTGTCGGTACGACTAGCTGAGACACTGAGGGCTTTCGCAGCTGATCGACCACGATGTCCTCGCCGGCGTTTGCGTCGTCGCGGTGATGTCGGGTCCTCACCCACCCCATACGCATCATACCCAAATCTGAAGATCCATTCCATCCACTGAGAGACCTGTACCAGAGAAGATCTTGAGATGTTGCCAACTCCGGAGAATATGACACCGTCTGATGGGCGAGGGTAGACGTCCGAACCGAGCCAACTTCTTCGATCTTCACCTGCATCAGCAGCATCCTCTGACCTCTTTGACGTTGCTAAATTCTCCGCCGAGGAAGAAGTATCGCCGAATCGGGAGACGACAAGATCCACTAGTCCATCTGTTCTGAGCACATAGTCCTCAAGAACCTCTCTCTCCCCACTTCCCCATTCTTCCTCGCCCACCCCGATTCCAAGCTCGCCGCCAGCAGAAAGCTTTATGCCATTATATATCTCAACGGCGGGATTCCCGGTCAGGAGAATGTCCCAGCTCCATGCAAATTTGCCCCAAAAGCGCTCAAGAAAATTGCAAAACGAGGATCTTCCAACACGGTCGTACAGACGCTGAAGCGTAAAGTCATGGTGAAGGAGGAACGTGGAATGAGCCCGGCGTAGCTGTTGTTCCAAGAGTTGCGGCGGACATATCTCTCTCGAGGAGTAGTAGAAAGGAGAACCACCAGAGGTATCGTGCTGGGAGGCAGCGCCGCTCGCTGAATCATTCGGAAGCCGAGTGAGATCTATTGACTGTGACCACATCGTCAGCCATCAAGTCAGAACGCCCGGCGACACCTTACTTACTGCTAGTATCCACCAATTCTCCTCCAATTCGTGTAGTATAACGGTCGATTTTTCTGTCTCCACATAATCGACTGATTTACCTTCGGAGAAATTCCTGGAGTACCAGCTCAGCTTGGTTCAGCCTCTGCAAGAGTGTGATCCGAACCTGGCGAAGCTGACCATTCCCTGCGCCAGTCCTATCTGGCGCAACCTCTCATTTCGCCCCTCAGTAAACTCTGCATCATCGTTACCAACAGCAGATCGTTCATTTCGTCGTAATCGCTCTGCTCTGGATGTATAAAAAACGACCTGATCACCGATACTTTCGTCTGTCGGTCCGAGGAGGGGGTTGTATATCGCAAGAAATGAGAGCTGCGCGGGAACCGCTGAAGTCAAGTCGCTATCTGGCATCGCATGTTCAGATCATGCCACTGCTCACAGAGATGTGGCACGCTTGAGTACGACTATGTTGTTGGAAGACGAGTTGCGCAGATCAGTTGGGCATGTTGTTATGGTGACATCACGTGGCCGAGCATCGGGAAAGCTGCGTGGAGCTTTGCAACTGCGACAGTCAAATACAGAACCCGTCCCAGGAGGACATGGGCAGGTTCAGACTATGATTCATCTCACGAGAGCTGAGGCTCTCTGCCATTACAGATGCGCTCTCCCGAAGCGCAGCTTTGGATATCGATTTCTTGCGACGAAAACATACGAGCCTCTCCGTATACTCTTTTGCGGAGCTGACGAGTTCAGCATAGCTTCCTTGAAAGCTCTACACGAAGAACATCTCAAACGACCAGATCGGATATCGTCGATTGACGTTGTTTGCAGACCCGGAAAAAGAGTAGGGAGGGGTTTGAAGAAAATTCGGGAGGGTACATTGTCCACTGTCAAGGATCAATGTGCATGGAAATATGCTCACTCATTCAACCTGATGCATAGTCCCCATCAAGGCGGTCGCAACGGAACTTTCACTTCCAATTCACGAGATAGATACATTCAAAGGCTGGGCGGTAATTGATAGTCCTCGTTGACTCGGTAGACTATGTACTGACGCTGCTAGCCCCCAATACTGCCCGGAGGTCCCATCAATCTGATAGTAGCTGTGTCCTTCGGCTTATTCGTGCCTCCGCGAATCCTCAATGCCGCCAAGTACGGTGGATTGAATGTTCATCCATCTTTGCTTCCCGAGTACGCACCTCAAAATCCTGGGCAGTTCCTCAAGAGGCTTCACCTAACGTGCGAATGTCTAGTTTCCGTGGTCCGGCCCCCCTACACCATACTCTTCTAGCAGGGAGAACTAAAACCGGCGTTACGCTTCAAACCCTACATCTCAAGCATTTCGATCACGGCGTCATCCTTCAGCAGACCCCAGCCCCCGGTTTTGAGATACCGAATCCTGACGCATGCACCGTTCCGGAGCTTTTGAACATCGTTGCCCCAAAGGGAGCGGAGATCCTCTTGGACGGCATTCGTAAAGGATTGTTTGTCCCACCGACAGAAGACGCAGGCTGGCGTGCATCGCAGAGCGATGAGCCATTAATTCATGCGGCGAAGATCAAGCCAGAGGATCGACACATCGACTGGGTCAATTGGTCATGGGAAGACATCAACAGGCGGAAACGCGTGCTCGGTCCGCTCTGGAGCAAAACCCTCGCAGTTGGCGATCCTGCTTCCGGGAATCCTTCGCTCCAACAACGCAGAGTAATTCTTAGCGAGATGGAGGAAGTAGATACGCTGAAGGGCTGCGAGGCATTCTCTCTTGTTCCTGGTTTGCCATTTGTGGACAGCGCCCATCCGATTGATCGCCAACAAGCGAAGGGGCTGTACGTGTTCACAAGAGATGGCAAACTGATTCGGATTCATCAAATGAAGGTCGAAGGAGAACAGAATGCAGATGGCGTTCGCGCCGCGCTCAAAGCTCGGATGCTTAGCGATCGAACCTTTAACTCTGGCGCTGCCGACTTCACTCCGTTCCACAATCCTTTGCAATGAACCCAAGAAATACGAGCGTCGTCAGTTTTTACTTTTTATTCTTTTTTTATTCTAACAATATGATACCACTTACAACGTTGCTCAAGTCTCAATATCTATATATTTGGCAGCCGTCACCCATACTCCAGCTGGTCTTCGAGGCCACAACACTTATTTGATCGCAAAACCGGCATCTGTGCCATCAGTATCGCGATAAATGATATAAATGGGGTCGCCTACCAATTTGGATGGACTGTCCAGTCATGGACGAGTTCTGAGCCAGCATAACATATGCATTGGCAGCGTCCTCCACCTCGGGCTAACGGTCACTCAATTAGCTAACGAGGGGCGAGTATAAAAAATCGGCCTGTCTTACCAATTTCCCAAGTACCGCTTTGTTCTTGAAGGCTGCGATCTTTTCAGGAGGGAATCGTTGCCCCTGTAGTTCGGTTAGCTCGAGTTCTGCGCCGCATTCTAACATCGAGCATATTCAAGTATGACTTACCCATTCAGTGAGCAAGAGAGCAGGCACCACAGCGTTGACGCGGACTTTTGGACCTTGACTCTGTGCGAGACACTTCATAAGGTGCAGGCCTATGTTGAAGTCGTGAGTTATGGTTCACCCATGAACTTTGCCTATAAATCCTACCTGCTGCCTTTGTCACAGCGTACGGTATGCTGCTTCCGCTTGGTGTGACAGCCTAAATGACTACAGTAAGCGCCAACCTTCACAATACAAATTTGACCCAAAGATGGGACGGGTGGTTACCTACCGCCGTAGATGAAGTGATGATGAAGACACCGCCGTCGGGGTTTGCGTTGAATGTAGGAAGGGCTTCCTTGAAGAGATACCAACTGCTCTTGACATTTGTTGACCAGCACTGTGTGAAATTGTCAGCTATTGTTGTCCATAAGAGCGAATTTCATTACCCTATCCCAATCGTCATCATCCATAGCGTCTAAATCGCTAAATGTAGTCATTTTGGTCCAACCCTTGACTGCCATTAGTCCGAGGCAATATAGTGAGAAAGATACACTGATAGGACCCACTGCGTTTGAGATCACAATATCCAGACCTCCAAGCCGTTCAATCGTGGTCTTGATTGCATTGCTACAGTCTTGACGGCGACTTGCGTCCTAGATTTGTAGGCCTCCGTCAATTGATCAGCTCAGTGAATTATCTAGCGCGCACTGTGAACTGCCACAGCAGGCAAGCATGACTTACACCTTGAACAGTGATTGCCTTGACGCCGTACTGACTCTGTAGGTTGGATGCAAGCTCCTCCGCAACGTCTTTACTCGAAACATAGTTGATCGCAACGTTGCACCCTTCGGCAGCGTACTTCTGAGCTACTAGAGCTCCTAATCCTCTGGACACCGTCAGCATCATTCAACAATAGAAGCCGGAATAGCAGATGTACCGAGAGCCACCAGTGATCAGGGCATTGCGGCCTTTTAACGAGTACGACATGATTTCACCAGATACTTTTCTCAAAGCTATCTTGGTGGAGGATTTAGGAAGCCAGTCTCTAAACGATTGAAACAGGAAGAATGATTATCGAGATATCAACAGCATGATGAGCGACTTACGCGGGGTAATGCATTGAGCTATGGGGAAGATATCGGCATAATTCCGATATCTGCATGGGCGCGGAATTATGAGTTGCTCTCTAGCTTGACAGGTATGATGTTGATCCTGCTCGTCTCCACATATGTACGAGTGTCCTATTCAAGAAAGGCAGCAGTCAATCACAAGGGCTCCATTGACCATCCCATGCACTGGGGGAATGTATATACTGACTAGTTGAGGAGGTGCACTGGGCCTGCATAACTAACCTCGGCTTTGCTGTAAGTATGGCGGCTGATAGACTTAGCTATATCGTTTCTCATTATCTCGCAGTGTCTGTCATAGTATACAATTTCTATAAAATATGGTAGATTGCCCCTCAACGCCATCAGAATGCAAGTGGTATTGTTAGTCTACCAGCGTACCGGCGTATTCGGTCTTCCTCATGCCCCTCCAGGCCTGTTTTCCTGCCAGGGCAGGCCATTGCACGAGAAATCGATCAGCAAAAGGCAACAATAGCTTTCCAGTTAGACTAAATGTTGTGACTCGCGCCCATGACTCTATGTAGATGGTACGCAACTGAAAGTGAACTGGTGCTGGTGCATCCTCTGATCTCTTCGATTGAAATGATGACGAGGTATTAATGTAAGACCCCAGATAGTGAAACAGTCGCAGAGATTTAGCGCCTAAAACTATACAGACAGCAGTAGCCGGACCGTTGGTAAGGATAACGTCCGGGTATGGCGAGTTTGTTCTCAGAAGCGGCGACTTCTGTTCGTGATGACGGCCGCGGAGTACAAGAAGGCAAGCGTAGAAGCATTGGAGGGTTGAAAGAGGAGCAGTCAGGTAAGACTGGTGCACACGGCGCGCGCGAGGAACCGTGACGATGGTGTAGGACTCTGCGAAGTCGCTGCCATTGGCAGAAGACGATAGCTTTGAATTCTGCTTCAGCCATTCTGTCTCAAACTCCACGGCCCTCGCAGCGCTGAAATTATCTCCAGAGCTGACAACGTAGGTGCGATGGGTATATATCGAGGGGTCGAGTTTCATGCGCCGCAACATAGAGAACATCTCCGCGGTATGTCCACCGCTGCCTAGGACGACCAGAAGATGAGTTGGACTATTCTTCCGTCGCCATTTCGGAACTTTGGAGTTTTGCGATATTGATAGAGCTCGAATGCAGAGCTGAAAATAGAGTCATTAGCACGCCGCAAAGCAGGAGCGATCGGATTGAAAAGTGTCCTCACAATTAGTGCGATAGTTCCGCATATGGCCACAAATAAGAGGGCATGGAGGATTAATTTGACCCACGGCAGAGCCATGGGGAGCTTATATTCGCCAGGTCAGACGAAGATTGCCAGTTGAAGGTAATGTTAGTCCCTGTTGTAGCTCAGGATCTCATCCTCATCGTAGTGCACTTGAAGACACGGTAGTCAGAAGCCGAAACCTGTTCGCATGTCTTTGTTGGCATTCTAGCTTTGACAGATACTCAGAGCTGGAAATACGCCTCAGATTATCATTCAGTCGCAGCTACTCTAGACTCAGTGAGCCACTGTGTCTTGGGATGGCTGGAGTGTCAACATTCCATAGTTTTATGTCATTGAGCTATTTGGAGACGGCACGTGGTCCGTGCGGTTCTCGGCGATTATTTTCCTGTTGTTGTCTTAACTCCTGCGATAGACAAGAAAACACATGGATACCCTTTATCGTCATCCCAGAAGTAAATTGTTTTTCAACAGAACTAGTTTCTTCCTTGGAACAAATCATCATCAATGTCATCGAATCTCACATGAAATATTAAACCATGTTCTCCAAGCGACTAAGCTGCTTCTATTGCGGACAACGCTCTGCGCAGGCTGACAAAAACGTTCGTAAATGGCGTTGCAAACACTGCGAAGCGGTCAACTACCTGGACGAGGTATGTGCTTGCTTTCGTTTGCCCTTCGTTTTTTGGTATATTCCGAATTAACACAGATGCCGTTACTAGAAAGGAGAGATTACCGACCCTCCCGCCGCTGAAACGAATCCTGATGTTTACGGTCCCGGGGCCGCAGACGTTCCCTTTGAGTCGGTTGATCTTACAGGATCCGACCTCTTCTGTGCTCAGTGTGTTCGCAACCAACATCTGTTCACAAGTGCACTTGCCTCTTATTTCCCATCGCCAGAGGACCCCAATTATAGCGCATATGAACGAGAATATCCCAATTTTCGCAGGAACTTGGAGGAACGATACCCGCAAGTCTGCGCAAGCTGCGAACCTCGGGTGAAGGAACGTATCCGTCAAGCTGGATATGAGGCGAAATCGGACCATCTTCGACGGATGATGGACAGGAGCAAAGCAGGAAGGGCGGCGAGACACGCGCGGCGGTGGAACTGGAGGAACCTGCTGGTGTCAGCGGGTGCCATCGGTTACTCGGGCAGCGTTGCTGGTCAACTAGCCTGGGATACTTTGGGTGCTTTGAGTACCCAGCATCATCTCCACGAGATGTACGATGACTTCTCATCGCCGTCCATTGCGTCGTGCGCTCATGCGACATTACAGACACGCCAACTGCCGAGTTCATGCTGGGTTGATTTGTCTCCGTACGCTGGTCTAGCTCTAGTTGTGGGGATCTTGTCACTGTGGTGGAACCCGAAACTGCGACTCAAGGTCGAAGGCAGAGGAGGCCGTTTTGTCGGGCTGGGCGAATACTATCAGGTGCAGCTCATCGTCATGGTGGCGCGATGCGTCTTCTGGGCTGTACTCAAAGACCCTTCTTCGAGTGGTCTACAACCAACATTGCCACCGGCTCTGCATCTGTTCATGATACTCTTCACGATCCTGGTAAGTCTTGTCATTATTGAGGAACGAATGAATCGCACGCTGACAGAAGCTCAAGTCTGTCGTTCTTTCTCGACGCGTTGTCAAGTACGACACTCGCCCACTGGTCGCATGGTCGGATAGCACGCCAACGGCGACCCCTAGTAGGAAAGCCGTTACGTCACCCGCTGTGCAGTCGAGCACTGCTACTCAGCGCTTCACCAGCTTTCGCGGAACCGACCAGCAAGCTACTCCGCGATTCCCGCTTGAGAAGCTGGCAACTCCCCGAGCAGTACCTGAAACGGAGCCGGTTATTCCTCCCACGCCTCCTCCAGAGGTGGACGATATGGACTGGACCCCTTCTGTACGGCATGAAATCAAGCCGACCGTTAGCGTCCGTCAGAGGGACACCCCATCCGTCCTCAATGGACCTCTGCCGTTCTATGGATCACTACCTGCAGCTCCTAAACCTCCATCATGGGCCCTTCGGACTCAACCTTCGCGTCCGAAGCCTATTCAGCAGGTTGTTGAGCGCAACCCGTTTCACCGTACACCCACTCAGTCGCCAACTTCCTGGCAACGTAACCCCGTCAGTCAGGCGGATTCGGTCTTTGCACCTCCAAAGTTCTTTCCTGTGAGTGATCATGCTGCTTCAACGGGGCTGGAGAGTTTGTTTGATCGGGCTTTTACTATCAAGTCCCCCGAGGATGAGGGGAACGAGAACTGGCAGCAACACCAGCGAGCATCGAGTGCGCATTCTCGCTATTCTGCGGATATGCAGACATTCTTTATGTTTCAGTACTTCCGGGTGGGCCTACTCCTTGCATCTATTGCTGCCTGGCTTCTATCACAGTATAACCATCTCTCAATTCCTGGCAATTACGTCGAGGTGGCTTCTCTTGGAAGTGCAAGTCTGATTGCAGGATTTGCACTGTTGGATGCCCTCAAGCAGCCTATCGTGCAATGGAACGGCATGGAGATCCTGGTTTATTTTGCCGAGCTTGTGGCGGCTGTCCACCTTGGGGGGCACCTTCCACATGTGTCACTCGAGAGACATTATTTTGACAGATATGGGAAACTTCTGTTGATCTTCATGACCGTTCAGGAAGCATTGGGGCTGTTGGCTCTCTATCGTATCGCGCCTAGTAACGATACTGGCTCTCAAGTGCAGCAGCCCAGCCAGTCGCCGGACGAAAGGGCTTCGGGCAGTCCATCACTCGGGAGCCATGCTCGGCCCGACCAGTCATCTTCATCCTTCACTTCTTCTGAGCCCCCTGTTCCTCCTCTTTCATTTTCTTCGACTGCTGCCGGTTCCAGTTTCATGACTCGGTCACCAGAGGCACAGTGTCAACTAGCATTTCCGAGCCAGAATCAAGGCTTCAAACGTGATCACAGCTTCACATTGAATAGTCTCAAGGACAATGAATCCGACTTCTCCGATGCCTACGATCGCGATTCAGACACCGAGACGACCGTGACGACGGCGACGACAGCCACAAGCAACACGGTCAGGAATATCCGCTACGGACGGAACCCCACTGATATATTCTTCTCCCCGAGACGCTCAGAGCTTGGTCCTGGCATCGGAGGGTTGAGCCTTGACGACAAGCCCTCCCGGCGAGTGACTCGCAGTCAGACGCAGAGACTTGCCGGAAATGAGGGACTTCGTAAATATTCGATGCGCGGGTTGAAGTAACCGTTTGGACAGCTTCAACTATTTTCTTCTTTACATGCTGACGCACATTAGCGGAGTTGGGATTTGCATTGGGTTGAGATCCACATATTTGCATTCATTAAGATATTGGGTTGTGTCAGGAAGCGTTCAAAGGTTGATTGATTGATGTTGTTTGCATCCACTTACCCCAGTCTGTTTTCTTGTTTCGTCACTCTGCTGTGGGTTTGTACATAACGACAGGAATATACGACTTACGACCAATGATGAACAAATATTTAGTCCTACGAGTATCTGATGCGATTAACTAATTTTGACCAACCATGATCGTATATCAAACTGTACACTCTGATTCACAAGTCAAGTTACCTGAACTCTGTCACCAGGACATTACAAGCAGAGCTATCTACGCCCTTTCAACCCTTGTCTCAGAGACCGTCTCGGCCTCCTTGTCGGGCGTACTCATGGCCCGCTCGGCATCCGCCACCTTGCTATCCTGGGCGCTCGTGACGCCGAACAACTCATCCATTTTCTCGAGCGAGAGACCTATTCCCATCAGCTTGAACTGTTTGATACAAGACGATATGGACAGAGGAAACCTACCCTTGGTCTCGGGGATGAAGAACCATACGAACACGCCCATGGATAAACAGAAGCAGGAGAAGATGATGTACGTTCTTTGATGGGTTAGCATCTATCTCGTCTCGGGGGGGATTCCAGGGAGAGAGGGGAGTACCCGTAACCATTGGCACCGACGGTAGCAAGCATATTGGGGACGGCGCGGGCGACGACGAAGTTGAAGAGCCACTGGGTGGCGGCCGCGAAGGAGACGTTCAGGCCTCGCAGGCGGGCGGTGGGGATCTCGGAGACGTAGATCCAGCAGACGGGCCCCCAGCCGAACTGGAAGCAGGCGGCGAAGAGGAAGATGCAGACGAGGGCGACGTAGCCGGCGGGGATGACGGGCTCGCCGGTCTTGGGGGGCGCGATGCGCACGTACAGGCCGATGTAGAGCATGGTCAGGCCCTGGGCGACGGAGGTCCAGAGGAGGGAGCGGCGGCGGCCGAGGGAGTCGGCGACGAAGACGAGGAAGATGGCGCAGCCGACCATCTTGACGATGCCGTAGACGCCTGTGGCGAAGAGGCCGGTCGCGTTGCCGGTGACGCCGAGGTTCTTGAAGATCTGGGGCGCGTAGTAGTTGATGGCGTTGGTGCCGGTCATCTGCTGGCAGACCATGAGGAAGATGCTGATGAGCGCGCGCTTGCGGTTGCCCGGGATCAGCCACATCTCCTTCATGAGGTCCCAGAAGCCCGAGCCGCCGATGAGCTGGCGCTCGTGCTCGAGCTGCGCGACGATGTCCTGGAACTCGCGCTCGACGTAGGGGTGTGTGGCGGGCAGGTGGCGCACTTGGGAGAGCGTGGTGCGCGCGGCTTCCCAGCGGTCCTGGCGGGCGAGCCAGCGGGGGGACTCGTTGCACAGGAGCATTCCGACCAGGAGGAGGATGGCGGGGAGGCCCTGCATGGCCAGCGGGACGAGGTACATGGCCGTGCCGCTGATGTGCAGCAGGGAGCCGTAGTTGATCCAGAACGCCAGCATGATGCCCATGGTGATGAAGAGCTGGTACAGCCCGGTCAGACCGCCACGGATGGCACGAGGTGCGTTCTCGGACACGTAGAGGGGGTTGATCATCGAGGCGAACCCGACACCGAAGCCGGTGATCAGTCTGCAAGACGAAGCATTCAGCGAATGCTCCGCAAGAGTGTCACGTAGGGCCCGGGCCACTCACCGTCCAATGTACATGGCTTCCAGATGGCCACTGGCGGCAACCTGCATGATCACACCAAGGATCGCCAGAATCGATGCCGTTATCAGACCGGGCTTTCTTCCCCAGCGATCAGCCACCGGCGAAGCAATGAGGGCTCCAAAGAAACATCCCGCCTGCAGCGTGGACACAATGTTGGCAGAAAGATTTGCCTGCGCGACCGAACTGAGACCGTTCAGGCCATAGTTTCTGATGACGGTTAGACAAGCTCTCCACGATTTCTGTTTTCTACAAGTAGACGCACGCCATGAAAGGTTTCATAGTGAGGACACCGCCAATGATGCCTGTTTCCATTCCGAAAAGCATACCACCAAAGCATGCCTAGAAAATTGTCAGTCTTTGTACACTGGAATATTGTCGGACAACTGACCGAGCAGGCAAGCATATACACCCTCCACCCATAGATTTCCTTGGGGTCCTCTCGCATCGCCTCATTGTGGACGAGCTTCCTGAGGATGGCGGACATGTTGACGACGACAGTAGGCTCGTCAGCAGAGGTGAAGAATTAACGAAGAAAAGTCGATATGGTCTAAGACGGCTGGAATGCGTTAATTTCCCACGCTCATCCCTGACAAGAAGGTTGAACAAGGTCCCCGATGCGAAAAACTAAAGACAGTCCTAGATAAAAGGGTCCAAGGATAGCAATGTTTATGTGTCTCTTCAACCCCAACAGATCTGCCGACTAACCAACCGACCTGGTGATGAATATATAACCGACGGTGTCTGATATCAGTAGCCGTCACCCTGCGAACGTGTGGTAACATGACTGCCAGCCATGGAAAAACAAGACGACCAGCGCGCTGAAATCATTCCACGAATTACAGCAGATAATGAGCAGTTTAGGTGAAGATACATCAGACGCCGAGAATGCCCTGAGCTCGTGGTTAGGACGGGTTGGATGGGGGGAGAAAAGGCCAGCGGACAAGGGTGTATATCCGTCTGGGCAATGGGAACCTATCAGCTTCGGTAGTATGATAGCATCAGGCTGTTGCTCACTTAGCCAGGCCAGCCGGTGGCCCTTTGACCCTGTCTTTGTGTGATGGCTGATGTGGGAAAATAACCGGGGGAATGCCGTTTGCTCTTGGAGGCCGGGGTAGTTTGGAGGGCGGCAACGAATGAGATGGGATGATTGAGGCTCACCACGCTGTTTAGAGCTTATTTCCAGCCTGAGATTGCTAGCTGATGCCACTGAGCCATCCACGGCACATGATGTGAAAGCATGAGGATGGCCAAGGCTCGATGCGAATGGTGGAATGGCGATGATGTGCCAAGCAGAAACGCGGAGGGGAAAGAGAAAAGCAAGCGAGTTTGCGGGGAAGTAGGGGGATCAGCATCGACTCGACTTGTTCGAGATGAAAGGTCGCATCAAAGATGCTCTAGTGCGGCACGTTGGCTCACTTGGCTGAGCTAGTGGATGATTTAGCCAGAAAAGTCCATTCATCCGGTGCTGGCCATTGAGCAGGAGTTGATACGAAGTAATCTACACGCCTTGGCAGCTAGCTGTCTTATCATGCGATTGCTGCTAATCGATGTCATTTGCGTATTCAAACTCCAGGATAGATATGGTAGTGACGCAGATAGTCTATGGAAGCTCGGAGTAATTCGTCGCGATGCTTGCTTGGCCTTTCAGTCCTGCTTCGCCATGATCTGCTTCAGTTTGTTCGGAATGTCTGGGACCCGTTCCCATCTCTCGCGCCATTTCTCCTGCCAGTCGTCGCCGTTTCCTTCAGCTGGCAAGGCGAACACAGCCGTCGCGAACCAAGTCTCGCTCCCGGGGCTGAGCTTCGATCCTAGCGAAGGGAGCAGAGTACGACCGTAGATCAGATTCGAGTTGGGATCTGCCAGTACTACCCGGCCTTCTCGATCCACATTTGACTGGAGCTCCACGATGCCTACGGCGCCGACGGACGAGACGGTGAGCGCACGCCGCGATTCCTGCAAGGTCCCTTCGGTTGAACTTGGAGTGAACGGGCCGAGAATACGGCCGTTGTCGCTGCGGCAGCCGTAGACTGCAAATGCCCCTTCGTTCACCAAGAGTTCGCGCTCCGTCCTCACCCGGTGAATGCGGAGGTGCCAGTTGTCGGACTCGATTGGGGGTATGAGCCACGTTTCGACGTCAACGTCCTTCCACGGCTTCCAGCCGGAGACGAGCATGGGAACATCATCAAGCCATTCAAACCGGGCATTTAGTGCCAATCTCCGTGTCTGCCAGATATCGCCCCCATCGTCAGAAAGAGCAAGCATACTATCTGGCGCGTGCTGTTCTAACTGATAGGAGCCAGTGGGAACGGAATATCCAAACGAGGCGCTGTAGGCAAATTTGCCATATTTGGCCTGGGTAGCTTTCAGGGGGTAATGACAGGCCTGACCGGACGACAGCAGGAACCAGTGTCCACCGCGATGAACCATAATGTGCTTGGGGTATTCAAGGGCTGCGACGGCCGGAAGGGAGGCAGTCGGGTAGGGTTCCTCCTCCGCTGCCCAGAAGGGGTGCGATTCCGGCAACGCCAGAGGAACAAATGATAGACAGCACCAATAAGGAGATCCGGGGGAGTTGTAGTTCTCTGTCAGGTACATGTTTGCGTAGGAGTATCCCAAGTTCAACGTCCCGTCACTGTTGAAGATGTCTTCCTGGGTAGCCCACCAACGGAAATGGCGGAGCAAGATACCTTTGACCACTCCCCAGGTCAGCGGAGCAGGCAGCTCAACGTCTGCAAAAGCCAGTGCACCCCAGAATCCGACCATGGCAAAACGGTACGTCATCGAGCGCCCAAATGGAATAGCACTGCCTGATCTAGTCAGCATGGCTGGAAAGGTTCCCAAAAAAGAGAAGTGGAGGACCAACCATTTGGACTGAAATAGTGGGCAAAGTCTTGAGCATATTGCTTCGCACGCTCACGGTATCTCGCAGCGCGGGGCTGGTCAAAATCACCAGCCAATTTGGCATACAGCAGTTGTAGAAATTGGATGGCAAAGGAGCCCGAGTAGTAATCCATCTGGTGATGACTCTTGGGCCCATCATTACTCCAGCCTCCGCCGACGTGGAATGTATCCAGATGATCCATATCTGCCTCGATACGAGCAAGCGAGTAAGGAGCATTATTCCTCCGCAGACCTAGGTTGGCAAAAACCCGGAACCACAGCCTGTTCGATAAGGTGAGAACAAGCCCCCAAACACATCCGTAATGGAAGACCTACCAATTGGTGTTTGGCATCTCACGCGCATTGATCTGCGCCAGCCAGTTTGCAATATTCTCCTTCTGCTCATCCGTCAACGGATCCCAGAAGACGTGAGGAGCAACCGCCAACGTAAATCCGATAGGACACATCTCCACCATGCGCTGGTCCAAATCCTCAATGTCGCCCCAGTACTCCGGACTGTTGGGATCGGTCCCGCTGATGAAGCCCTCACGCCAACGAGCTGCCTCTGCATAGTCATAGCCTCCTCCCAGCAAGGAGCCCAGGGCCCAGAGGGGACGTGCAAAGCCCTCGATCTGAGCGCCACCTTCATCGAACCGGGTGGTCGACGAGCCGATCTTCACTCGACTGCAGCCGGGTGTGAAGCGCGGGATGAGCGGATCGAGCAGCGCTCGACATGCGTCCTGGAAGTCGCTGCGTGTACGAAACGGAGACCGACTAAACCCCTGGGGAGGAGTCTTTCCATTCGCATGGACAGACATTGTGATGGGTTGACCTGTTTGGTTGGTCAAAAACGAGAGAATGCGAGAAAACAGTCGTCAGTGCTGCGTGACATCGCTGTCTTAGTGCTTGGATGCCCATTCATGTTTATATGTCCTCTGCATGGCACAGTTGGCACTCTTGTCTGAGGACTTTTGAGGAGGGGCAGGTGGGCAGGGCGATCGGGTTTCGGAGTGAAGTCCGATGTGACCAACTCGAGGGGTAAATGGTCTGACAGCTCTCAGTGATGGATAAATCATTGATGCAGATTAAGCTTGTCCCATGGATAGGACAGGGTTTGCACTTTGCAGTTGTTATTGGATGGGTAAATGGGAGGTACAGAGATGCTCGAGGTAGAGTCGGGGCCAATTTAGCCGAAGTGGATACCTCTGCATCAGACTGTGTACTATCTACCTTCTACCTAGAGTGACGCATCTTTCTGTTGAAATAAACATAGTTCTCGAGATTTCTGATATTATCACTGGCAATTCTCTACAGCTTTAGCCATGGACTAGTTCAAGGCCAAGATAGGCATTGCAATGACACCAAGTATAACCCCAGGAGGGCCAGGACCGATAGGTATAATTTGACTCGTGATGCTACTGAATTTGAGTCATGCAAATTGCCCCCGAGCCTGTGCTCCAGCTTCTTCCCTTCTGTGAACCGTGAGGGAGTAAGCAAGAGTCCTTGGGATGTTGATACATCGCCAGAGAATTCCGAAAACAACACTCCTGACTCTTATTCAAGGGGTCTAACTGGAATAACACGCCAACTAAATCTCAGAGCGCAAGACGATGGACCATACCTTTTGAAGAACACATGACCAGGCCACAGAAACAATGCTCGTGATGGACTTTTAGGAAGGTTCGACGTTTCGAACGACTTCCCACTCATTCTCAACTCCATCCGGTCCTGTTGTGTAGGAGGAGCCCCTCAAAAGTTGTTCGATCAGATACAGAGCGAATAAGGAGATTGTGTTGAATCCGTCATGGAAATATCAGATTGCAGGGCAGGTCCTCTGATCCAGTTGAGGCTGCCCGAAATTCAATCATGCTGTCTGGTCTCTGTCAACTCTAGAGATGCGACTCTTGTTAGTCAAGAGCTATCAAAATTCAATATGAATGAAGAAGAGAGGCGATTATCAATGTGCTTCTTGAGAACGCAGTGACAAAGATGAATGGGATTGACCATGCAGTATGCATGGTCATCCAGTCCAGTCCACAGAACTGCAGCCGTCAAGGCTTCAAGCAGGGTGCATATGTGAGGTTGCCTGCACCAACAGCATGGCTAGCTAATTGGCGGATGTATTTCGAATTAAGTATTCCATAATGAGACTGATCTGCCAGGAGTCGTAAAAATGGCAAAAGCACGGTGGATATGTCACATCAACAAGAGATAATCAATTGTGATACAGATCAAATGGATGTATCATTAAGATGCGATGAGCAGATGACACACATAGTTTGGGACAACCAGTAGGCTTGAAGGCTTGAACCGCCTGGGGCAGAGACGCTCTACCTAGAACTCATCTGTATTTGCTTCATTGGTAATCATAACAATATAAATCATCCAGAACAAGCACTCACACATCGGAATTCTGTAGAGTAGAGTCGTCGACATATCCCGATAAAGCTGATTCGAAAGTAGTTCCTTGACTCCAAGGATTCTCCGAAAAGCATGGTGTTTCATGACTGTTTCACACACTGTCAAAGAGCAAGGGTACTGCTCTATTAGGCAAGACACAAACGACTCTTGGCTAAGTCAATAGACAGTCACGAATCTCAAGCACTGGCCACGGCGGGCAATGGGCATTATCAAGTCTTCGTCATGCGACTCGGACCTACAGAGTAGTAGTCTAACTGTGGTTTTGCTCTTTTGGTCGAAGATTGTCCCATCTGTGGATCGGTGCGTAGGGCAACTGGTTCAGTAGTCCACTGAGACCCTGCACTGTCGACTCTGGGATGTACTAGGCGGACCTTTTCACGAGTTAGTTGATTCAGTTTTGCGGAGTACAATCTACACAAGTGTACAGCTGCTTGTTGTGGAGATTTTGTAGATATGCGTGTGGCTGATGAATGTGTGTACACTTTACAGGACTATGTACACCATGATTGCTGCTTAATAGTGACAAAGAACTAGTTAATTAAATTATTTTATGGAGTATTATAGTTCTAGTTATGCATTATATGATATCTTTTCTCATAGCTTTTCTTTGCAGTACCAATTCTCCGAATGGAGTGATTTCGTGCTTGAGTCAGTATGGAGTGCCATGATCAGTTGAGCACAGGAGCGAGTGTTAGCTTAGGGTGTCTGCCGAGTTCCGGGCAATTTCCTCCAGACATTGTGGCAATGCTTCGTTGATACAGAATCATCATACTAGGAGTAGGGAGGAATAATCGGCGTGAGGCTGGCAGATCTTGAACTGCTGTCTCCATTTAGTCAACTCAGGTGTCTCAGTCAAGTCAATATTTGGAACATCCTTGGCAGCGAATAGTCAGATAACGAACAACCCAATATTGAGACGCGATACGTAATTGCTCAAGTTCAAGATGGGATGGGTACTTGCCGGTTACTCAGTTCCAAGGTTGACCAAGCTGAATGGTAGATTTTCCTTTTTGATGCCCTGAAACAGCGGATCGGAAACCATCCTGCTCCCCGGTCGCGGAGAGCTTCTTTCTGCCTTGTCCAGTAGGATGCGACCCGAGCGATTTCAACTGGTTGGCCCGAGTTCAGGGATACGGATTTCGAACATTTGGTCCTGGATGATTTTTGGATCCTGTCGCGTGGAAAAGCGAGTTAGTCTCGTCTAATTAATGAGAGGAGAGCTGGGATTTACTCCGTAGCGGCAAGATGAAACAGCTACTCGGGTTGTTCAAGCTGAGTATTCGAAAATGCCGGCATTTGATACTTTCTTCTCTCACATGGTATTCAATATTGTTGACTTGCAATATGAAGGAGGAATGTGATAGAATAGCGTAAGTAGGTGTTCATGATGGGATATTGTTGCATCCTCCTCTGTAGACTCCAAGGCACATAGTTTAGACGTTCTCTGGTCTAGAAGGAGCCATATTGGATTGCCGAACCTCGGAGCAGCATGGCCAATATCTACAAAGGATCAAATGATCGATTATGAGGCAATCAAACCAGGCCCAAGCGTAATTAATTCAATCAAAGGGTCTTAGATGAATAGATTGTGGTCGGTTCGACTGAGTAGGGTCCGGGCCAACAGCTGGCTCATAGTCTAGGCCATAATTGCGTCCTTCTGCAGACAGACATGGGGTAGAAGATGCTACTTGTCCTTTACCAGTACCATGGTCTTATGATGATAATCATTGAATTATTGACAAGCATTCCAAAGTACAGTGCAGATGGCCGAGTTGATGGATAATAATCGAATAATGATAGATGTCAATTGCATACAGAATCGATAGGCATTGCTGGCCATCTTCAGTGAGGTTTGTACGGTAACCAAGTGTCTACTTCCGGCGACATCCGAAGTCTAAGGGCACTGAGGATGTTAATATCTTCAGATTAAACAATCCTTTAATATTGGAACTCGTTAAACGAGATTAGTGTTCGATTACTCAGAGGAGGTACGGAGTAGGTGCTACGGCAATCCCGAGGACCACTTCGTAGACGGTAGGACTATCCCCACGAATAAGCACTACTACTGACATGTCACCATCAACTCCTCAAGTTGCAATATCAAAAAGTAAAGCGATGAAGATCCTAGATAAAATCACAATTGACGAGTCGAGAAAAAGCAAGAATCCAAGGCAATGACAAGCGCTTGACAGAAAACGCTCCGGGATCGACGGTCGGTTCCCGGAGGAGTGGTCAATCCTTGCTCCATTGTGCAAAAGCTCGCGGGTCACTTTGATGAAGATGGGTCAATGGTCTCCATCTTCTGGAGGAAGACCAGAGTATCAAGTGCAGATCTTAGATTCTATCGCTGTCGCTTGAATCCGATCGGTGCTTATTTTCCGGATTAGGGCAGTTGTAACTTGTACTCCGTAGATATTGAGGGTAGAATTATTGCGCCCTTCAGCCGAATGACCTGCAGAAACTAGGACAATGCACTCACGTAACTTGATTTCGATTTGATTGATACTTCTGAGGTCTGACAGGTCAAATTATGATATTGGTTTCCTAAAGCCAGTAGTCACAACCTCAAGCAAGGGAATTCGGGGATTGACAAGTTTATAGGAGTATTTGACTGCATGCAGGTCATCCAGAAGGGTAACGATCCTAAGGGGGAATTGAGACTTCACTGATCTACAACAGAGCTCATTGGAGCAGTAAAAGACTAATACGAATAGCTTCCGAGGACTGTCTGAGATTTTCCGTAGACTGATGCTCCTCAGGAAGTGTACTAGATACTTTGGACCTCACATGGTTACATCGTTACCTGGACTGTTGTGGCACTGAGTCTGACATAGGCCCAGCCCAGCATAAGCGAGCTCCTGCATTGTACAGACTAAGGATTAGAATCTGCAGAAAAGACAATGTGGACATTACATCATAGGCTCTTTTTTAAACTGAAATAATGTATGAAGATACAGGGGATAATAATTTCTTTTTCTTTGTTCTATCTATCTATCAACTTCTCACTTCTTCAGGAATCAACAAAGAAGTCAAAGAACCAGAGACTCAGAGTCAGGGGTGCATCTCCTATTATTTTCCTGATATGTACGTAGTTGACCCACTGCCTCCTGGTGTTAGTCTCACTAGATCCATGGATTTCCCGTTCCTTTGACTTTCCATAGAAAAAACTCGCGTGCAGTTTCCTGCCCCACCAACATCCTCTCTCTGCACTTTTACTGGTAAAAGATTGGGACTTGCATTCGCTTGGTGTTTTTTAACCTTTGTACCTTTTATTCTGGTGGTCGGAACTAGAGTCTTTTGGGAATTTTGATGATGGTGGAAAATCAACTGGGGAACTTCCTCCGTCGTTAGCCCATACTGACTGACTCTGCAGAGTTAGTCCGTTGTCCCTCCTCTC